AGAAAAACAGCAAAAAAAAAAAAAAAAAAGAGAAGAAAGCAACAGACACCAATCTTGCATACATGAAATTACATAATTCATCTATAGCAAGCAGAAACATTACCTATGAATAACCAGGAAGATGTTTTACATACAGTATCCATTTAATATATCTATAATCACGCACAATTCATTCCAACACAACAAGCTATAAGTATATTGTAGAACAACGGTCGAGCATAGAACTGCAAGTGGTCTGGCTAGCATGCGGACAGGTGGTAAGCAAACCTATATTAAATGGAGTTTGTGAGTGTTTTGTATTAAAAGAGAAAAAATAAATACAATCTCATCGGTCGACTCTCTGATGGTAGGAAGGGGATGCTAACCAATTATTTTATTTTACATGGCCAAATAATTAAAATGAATAAAATGTTTAAAAAAATAAAAATAAAATATATAATAAATATTTTGATCAACGGGAGATAAGATCATACGAAAACGTATAACTTATAAGGCGAGACATTTTTTTAATACCTTGTTTCGCAAATTAATTTTAGTAACGATCGTCAGAGGTGGGCGGGAAAAAAATTAATACATAATATTGTTTTTTTGTTTAGCAAAAAGTTTTGCCAAAAATATCCCGATGGAGGATAAAATGAAAATAAAATGTTATTGTTGAATGTAAATTTTGTAGTAATTGAATGGTTAAAGTTGTAAATTTATATAAATACGAAGAAATATTAATATCTTATTTTTGGAGATTTCAAGGCAGTGACGGGCGTATTAAAAATAAAAAAAACTTTCTTTTTTTTTTTAATTTCTTGTTTTTCTCGGCGACGGGTGTACTAATTAGCCAAAAAAAAGTTTATTTTCATTTAAAAATATCAATATTGGAGAGCGTGGGTTCGCGAAACAAAGTATAAAAAAGTCTTGACTAAGGAAAGTAAATATTTAATAATCCAATAATAATCAAATACATCCAAAGAATTATTATCAACATCATTTCAAGATGAACCAAGACTCGCATGAATTTGTAGATGAAGGTGGAAACTAATGGAAGGAGCAGGTTCCAGTGAGAATGATGACAAACACCATCATTACTTTTTGTAGTTTTGTGTACATAATTGCAATACACTGACATTATAACATTATTATTGTTCCTAACAGGTCCCTTGATGAATCGGATTACATAAGTTTAACAGAGGAGTTTGAAATGGAAGATGCATTTGACTCGAAAGATGAATATGACGTGCAGGATGACACTGGAATTTGGGATCAATTTGGTAGTGACGATGAAGCCAACTACAGCTTTGCAGCTGACTCTAGCATGGAAGACACGGGGGAGGACTTTGAGGATGGCGTTAGCATTGCAGCTGGCATGGAAAATAAAACCAACTTTCAGGATGGAACTGGCACGAGTTATGATGCCAACCATATGACTGATGATATGGTGGAAGATCCAGCGGCTGGCTATAGTGAAGATGAAGCAACTGTTGCGATTGATAATGGCTTGGATTATGAAGCACAGAGAGCTGCCTTATCACTCCATTCATCTATGGTAATTAGTTTTTTTAAAACAATATAAGATTATCTAAAACGTTTTAAGGTTGTGGAAGATCCCAATTCGGTTGCCTGCCAGGAAAAACAAATACTGTATAATATGGTCTTATAACATGAACATTCAATCTATAAAAATCTACCATTAATTTACTTGGTTTAGCTCTGCAGAAATTTTATATTGTGAACTCAATACGTTTAATATAATATTCAATTTATTTGTATTTTTATTCAGTTATTTTATCAGATTATTTTTACAGTATATCATAGACGTTTGTTTCAACTGTGATAAAATGGATGTTCTCATTTATTATTTTTTATGTTGTTCTTCCATGATAGGAAACTGCATATTATGTTGACGGTCCCAGCACCGATCCAGAAACTGTTGATGATTTAGGTCTTTTTCAAAGACCATATGGCTATATAACTGAGAATTTTAACAAAGAGCCTGAGGTATGTATATTTAGACATACGGTTACATATATTCATTTAACATGATACCTATTTAAGATTGTAAATACTACATATTCAGGACAGGTAGGTCCTTTTAAAGTATATATCCCTACGGTGAAAAAGATTTAATTGAGCTCATGATACAATCAATGGCAGTATATAAAATGCAAATCATACAAAAATAATTGCATATCAAAGTTAAACCAACAGTTTTCATGATTTTATTTATAATATAATATTAAAAATATTATAGTAAAAACTACAATTTTAAAACTGTGTGATGGTGACAGCTGTGAAAGATAATTAATAATAACAAAAAAATTATAATATAACAACAACAATAATATTAATAATAATAATATTAATAATAACAATAATATAAATTATAAAGAGATATTGGACCTAAACAATTTAAAATAACCCTCAAATGTACACCCTAAACTGGATCGTCCCCAACACATAATAATTTCTTCCTGTAACTTGGTTAAACTTTCCCAAAAATGTAATTATAAATTGACCAGTTTTTGAAAAACATCAATTACAAATATTGTGTAATTGGATAAAATTATATTATATTTCATTTTCCTTCAGGTGATTACTTTGAAAAGAGGGTCAGTGTACTCTACCCTCTCACCCTTTTATAAACAAAATCATTCTATTCGTCAAGCTTTCATCAAATTTGACAATGAGACTGGAGTTGGATTTGGACCAAAAAAAGAAGCCCTCAGATTGTTTCACGAGGAAGAGAAAGATATGCTTTATGAAGGGTACACGGAAATGATACCAAGAACATATGGCGAATCATCCAATGTTTTAGGCCGAGCTTTGTATGACACCTTTAAGTTTACCGGTGGATTTCCATTATTTATTTCTAAACCTTTTATTTTTAAATTACTAACTGGTAAAAATATTAAAACATATGATGAAGAGTGTCTTATTAAATCCTATATAAATTTTTCATCAATGAGTAATGATGATAAGTTAATCCTATTATCAGCAGTAAATAATGGTGTGCAAAGCATGTCAAGTGAAAATAAAACAAAATTCTTTGAGGCTATCAGTCGCGAAAAAGATATAAAAATAGCTCAAAATATTGGGCCAGATTACTTCAATCAATGTGTAGATGAAACTAACTGGCGTCAAGTTGTCACTGACTTGGCTTGTTTAGACATAATTGAAAAACCTGCATGTGTAAGTGTTGCCCAAGAATTCCAACTCTGTATGGGTGAATGTGAATTTTATTCTGTAAATGAGGCAAAAGATTTCATTAACAAAATGAATCCTAAACCTCAATCTATCATAGATATGATTGAAACACCTTTAGAATTAACAGATGATATGAAAAAAGTTATTGGATATCTGTATAGATTCATTATTTCTCGCTGCGATAACCCTAAGATGGCAGAACAATTCCTGATTTATTTTACTGCATCAACTAATCTGCCACTTACAAAAATCAGAATTGATTTCCATGTGGAAGTAGTCACTGCATGTACTTGTGCTGACATGATACAGCTTCCAACAACTTATGAATCCTACAAGGATTTTGAAAATGAAATGATAACTCTGATAAATGATGACTTCTCCACATTTACTTGTATTTAGTTGTGTAGTCAGCAAGTTGTAACTACCATGGTTTATCGCATGTTTGTCAAAGACCAAATAAAATGTTCATAGAGTAACAGGTCGTTGTGGTACCAATTACTTTTACAGATTTTATTTTAATTATTATTAAAAATTTTATTTTACCACAATCCAACAGCGCCACATACATCGCTCATAACAGGATATGACAAAACAAATTTACATTTCTTGGAACGTTTCACAATGTATTAAAATATTACTTAAACATCAGATAAACCCAGCAACCAATTTACAAAAATTGAACCTCATTTAGAGGAGTTAACCATCACAACTATGATTATAAACATATAAATTATCAGATCCCTGTGGGAATCACACCAACACTGAGCAAGATCTCATGATGCCATGTTTCGAGAACCCACTGCTTCCCAATGACTACATTATTTCTAGAAAAAAGAAAATACATATATATATAAATATTTTTTCGCATCCCCCACCTATGTTAATACCACAATATGCTGCTGAAGGTCGAGTCCATACGGTAGTTACAGATGCTTGAGGAATATCAACCCATGAGGTCTATTTACAATTCTATACTGGTGTAAAACACTAGGACATTTCCACGAAAATTAATTGTGTTAAGTGAGTATGTCTGAAAACCAAGTGTGCTAAAAAATTGATTGTGTTCGAAAGTTGCCTTTTAACGTTACATACATATATAGAACCCGGATGCAGAAGGAAGTACGTACGTATAGTATTGCTCTTTTGACGTTCCATATAATACCACAACATAAAAACACAATCGAGCAGGCCATGTGGACGTGAGACAATTCCTCTGGTAAAAAACTACCATAAAACTAATTACTTTTTCCCTCAATTAAGCTGAAATTTGGATTTATATTCACTTCATGAGATGGAGACTTCGATGATCTATGTTTTTAAATTAGTTTTCAGTTCAGTTTTTTTTTTATCTGACGTCCCTGGTTTAGTACTGTGATTGTAGGCTTTGAATTAAGCGTAATTATAATTCTGGGTTTCCTCATTTTTTGACATTTTAGCCTTGTGCTATTGAAAAAAAAAATAGATGACACATTTCCGAATTCTAATATTGATTTTTGAAGATGTTATTTAAGATATATCAACCACTGTTATAATAAAAGAAAAAAAACTAAAGCATTCAATAGCTCTTTAAAAGGATCAAATAAGACACCACTGACTAAAACAATTATAATTATTTAAAAGGAATTCAGAGAGTACTATATCAAACTTGATGAATCTTTTATTAAAAACAAAACATAGGTAACTGCTTAAATCCTGTTGTACTTATTATACCTTATTTTAATAATAAAAATGGCAATAGCAATAACAATAGTTTGTCACCACTATGACATTTTAATATTATTATTATGATTATTATTTTTATTATTATTATTATTATTATTATTATCATTTTTATTATTTATTGTTATACAATTGATGTTTTTAATTTTATTTTTTATCTAAATTTGGGTTAAATGGTACTGTAATTTCTGCTATATGTATAGCATTTTCTTTATCTTTAACAATCACCATATCAGATTTCACAATTCTTTATGAAATTTAAGTAGATGCTTCAGTTTGAGGGCGTACTTGCTGAGCATTAATGTATTTCACAGCCTTCAAAATGGCGGAGAGTGTAGAAGACAAGAATCGTTCTGATAAAAATGTCTTTTTATCCGAGACAACAGATCAATGCAGGTATGACTATATTGTTGTTTTTTTTCCACATTGGCATAGGGCTACTTTGCAGCATATTATATACTCAAATATTTGGTTTATTACCTTGTAGCAAGATTATCATCAATTGTAGGTGTGAACATTGATTTCGATTTTAAATACAAGATCATGTTTCCTCTATAGAAAAGGTCACAGGCCTATTAAAAGTTATGACTTATTATAATACACATTATTATAATGTTTAGGCCTACAATAACAGGTCCCATGTGGTCCTGCAACCACACACTAGCCCCGTTCATATCCAACTATGGCAAGATAATTTTAGTGGATGAGCTAGATGTTCTCGCCATAAGTTTGAGTATGACCGCTCAAGTATGGCGAGATGAAGGCCACAACTCGACTAAGTCCGTCAAGTAAATTTATGTCGACTAATTTCTTAATCCAGCCTAAAGCCAGTAAACAATTAAACAGCGGGTGGCCACAGGTCACGAATACACCAAATCAAATTGAAGCAAAGTGACCTTCCATGCTCGCTGGTTAGCGCGTTTTTTAGTTACTGTCATAAACACCATTCAGAATTGATGCAGTCTCCCTGATCTGTGTACTTTAATTTCAACAAGTCTTGTTTTGCAAATGATGGCCGAAAAGTCAGTAAAGAAACGGCATCTCTGGACGTATGCGCAGTAATATTTAATAAATATCTGGAGGGAGCCAGAAATCGCCGAAAAAGATAAAGATAAATTGTATCGTCAGAAGGCTGTTGTCCACGAAAGGATAGCAGAGAGAATGCGGGACTTAGGCCAAAATAGCATAACATCGGCAATTGTTGTGACAAAGTTGAAAAATCTAAGAGCAGAACACAAGGCTGTGAGAGACGTTTTTATTCGTGGGACGGGCAAGGGGTCGGCCAATGTAATAAGGGATGACCCGAAATCAGCATGCCCACACTACCACATACTAAATGAAATACTTGGGGGGAAAACCAGTGTAAACCCTCCAGTCTAATCTTACTTAGATTACTTACGCTTACGCCTATAGTCTCGATCTAGCATAAACTAGTCGCGCGAAAATCAACAGTAATTGCTCACCATGCGATTGTACTTCCTGTCTAATGATGTGTTTTCCGAATTTCTGGTAGTCAAAATATCTCGCTCTAAACCTTAACGTCGAACGCGATTAGTGGATTTAATCCAATTAACTTGGCAAGTAGATCAGCTACTTCATCTGGCTATAATCCCATATGAACCTAGCTACTGTGGACCAGCCAACAGGAAGTCATTTGCTAGAAAAATTATGAAGGTACTTATAGGCTAGACTTTCTTATACATTTTCTTACTTTCTAAATTGATCTACAATATAGTTTTTAAAGTTAATTATACATTTCTTAACCTCCAACTATTCATTTCTCATTTTTTATAACTAAGGCTTTTTTTTACACCTTTTGAACCCACTGTCCGCCAATTGTTATTATTAAGACAAACATTAGTTTTCAAAGTTTTGTCTATAATTACCCTGAATCCTCGAATAAGCACCGATGCGCTTATTCAAGAGTACATACTACATTGTGTGTAGTAAAACAGAGAGAAACAGAGTGTTCAAAGACAGGCACATGTAGGGTCTATGAACTGGCATGGAAAGCATCATGCCAATATTTTTTTAATAAGCTCCTCTCTCGAATAAGCACTGCACTGAAGCTCCAAAAGTTTTATACAGTGCAGCAGTACTTATCTGAAGATTTATGATTGATTTAATATGAATTTAAATTAAGGAGATTAAAAAATGCTTGCAAAAGGATTACATAATAAAAAGCATAACTTTAAACCCAAAGAATTTTATCTGATTTTGAAATTAAAAGTTGTAAAGTTGTTCTAAAATGATAACTTGCTAGAAGCTTCATAATTTAACTTTCTAAATAAAGTTGGTAAATTTTTAAAAATGACTGATTTTTATATATTTTGTCTAATATTATTATGAGTAACTTCACTTTTAAGATTGTATACTTACGTACAGCCTTGGGCATGAGCCATCATATGTATATAGACTTGGAATAAATATACGAGTAATGAAACCTAAGGTTGTGTATTATCTTCATTATTGGCATCATGTGATGTAAGGTGAAATAAATCAACTCTAACCAGTCAAATTTTCTTCAACAAAAAACTGATTTGTGTTATTTTCAAACAAAATTTTATAGTCTGGAGAAGGCTTTATTTACCCTATAAAGCAATCTTCTTAAAGCTCATTTTCAAGCCATCTTTGCATCGTCTTGAGTTGGATAATAGTTTTGGCTAAAAAAAAAAAATGCAGATACAATGATTTATTGCACATGCACCATTGCACTTGTATACTTACATGTCACACACAAATTGATGAGAGTACTGTGCACAATTTCTTGTGAATTTTTTTTATTCCTAATTTTCCTGCATGTTGGCTGCTTCCATGATTAGTGTGGGTTTACAGGCATATTCAAATTACCATTTCAATACTGCGCTTTTTACCTTTCATACTTACGAATGTATTCCAGTATGTCCTTCCATAATAGCACAAAAATTTTCATCTTAAACAAGACACTTTCTGAACTTAGGCACATATTTTTTGCTTGGTGTGACTAATAAATCTGGCCGTATTCACATCAAGTTGTATGTGATCAGTACATTTGATTTGCCCATGTATGGGTGTGACATGACATCACCATGCCCATATATGGGCAAATTACAGACATTGGTGACAGGATGATGAGGTGTGGACAGAATATACTTGGTATTCCTGGACAACACAAATAAAACTTTTGAAGAGAAAAAATTGTGAACAAAAGCTGAATTAAATGTTAAAAATAAAGCAGATAAAATAACCTAAAGGATTGTGAAAACCAGAAGAACCATACACTGTTTCTGCAGCAAGCAAGACCATGAGATGATGATGATATTAATTTATGGCTTAAAAATGATTAGGGTAAAATAATTCTGAAAAAAATATATAAGACAAAATTAAACACTCTAATTGAGATAAAGGTTTTTTGTTGTACAATATCTGAAAATCAGAGATCTTTTTTCTCGATTTATTTGCATATGAAAATAAATATCTTATTTCATTTCTATTAAAATGAGTTATTTGAGTTAGAGGGTTTTTGTTTCTATTTTTTATTGGCAAGCAGTATGTCTTTATTATCAGGTGAACTATGGTAGGTGTTTTTTTTTTAATTTTTTTTTATTTTTCAAGGATCCCGGCAAGGCCATAAATCACACTTAACCTAAAACAATGTGTTAAAATTGCATGAACTTATGACATACAATATAAAGCACATTCGCAAATATAGAACAATGTTCTATAATGCTTTTATGAGCTGTATCA